TCCGGATGTTTATAACGATCTCGTTCATACAGTATCCGTATACAAACTACAATGCACCTCAACAAGGCAACATAATGAACGACACTTGTCTCATTCGTGGAGGTGGAAAAACAAGTTCTTTGTGACATGCAAGATTTGTTGTATTAAAATGTAAATGCAAAAGAAAAGGCATGAGAGTCGGTTGTTTTTGTCAATTTTAAGTTTTCATTTAAAATGTTTGCGATTTTAATATAAGTACATGGTTACATATTTGACCACTTGCTTGAGCAACTTAATATATAGAAGTAATGCATGGAATAATTGGCTTACGTTGTTAAAATAGTGAGTATGTGTTAAAATAAAAATAGTGAGTACCGGGGTGTTTGTGGTACAGCCGCGGATCAGTTACGCACTGCAAATGCAGCATATAAAGCACTGTAGCGCGTCCTGCTTCTGTAGCAGCTAACGTTACCGTATACGCACCGCACACGCATTGCACACGGATTATGTGTGAAACCTGTGGTAAAAGGATGGGAACAGACTTTTCTGTGGTGAGTTGGCTGAAAGTTTAGCCTATTTATCCTAGCTAGCCTCTCCTGCGCTGGCTCAACTCTGTCTCCTTCCCTTCACGTTTTCTGACAGTCGGTAACTTATCGCAATCACAAAAACTAACTCTGGGGTTCTTATTGCTGTTGTTAGAACAGCCGTGTATTACACAACACACCATCACGCTGTTTAAAAAAAAAATACAGTGATAATACACCGACGCTGCCTCGCTTGTCAATTGACAGACTGACAGTTGCCGTGGTTTCTATGTCAACAATATGGCCGCCGCAAACATTGATGACGCAGATCGAATAACATCTATAGTTGAACACGTACCAAACCGTCCTCCTCGAAAAACGCCTGGCCGGAGCAGAGTGTCCTCACGGACATTCTCTCGCGATGCTCACAGTCAGCTCCCTCGAGAACTGACTCGGCATGCTCCACTCCCAAACAAGCAACACAAAGCTGATGTGTGTCCCCACCAGTGATGAAACGAGGGCAGGGAACAGCACAACGCTTAAATTCTTGCTTGCTCGCCATGATATAATATATATATATATATATATATATATATATATATTGTGAACTTGACAGACAACAATAAATAGACAAGGACTGAAACAGAGAGCGCTTGCTGAAGGCACAGAAGCTGACGCGATCTGTTTTCAGGGGCGCTTCCTGGTCTATGACATCACCCGCCCATGACGTCTCGCTCTTCCATTGGACTGATTATACACGTGCTTCACGACACAATCACACAGGGGTGTTCCCACAGCGTAACTACACAGCGGGAGTTCCCTTGATAGGGGACATCACATAGACATATAAACTACATTAAAAACTTGATTTTCACCACAGAGGGACTTTAAACGGAAAGCATCTCATAAATGACCACAAACCTGAAAAATAAAGGCAAGGACATTTTTTCAATTTATTTTCCAAGCATTTTATGATTAAAAAATATATAATTTAAAACATATTTTAAAATGATTGAACTGAGAATGTATTAATTTCCATGTCTTGTCCAGGGTTGGAAATCTATTTGGAATTCCCCATGACTGTAGGATCCCTGACAGATTAATTCATGAATTTCACCTTTCTAACTAAACCTGTAAAATCAATAAAGCCGAACAAAAGCTTTGATTCAGATACTTGGCCTCTATTATGTTGTAAGCAGTGGCTGCCATGCTCGTTGAAAACAGCTTTAGGACACTCTGATCAAGCTTATTGGCTTGATTACACTAGTGTTCATCAAAATCATTTAAATGTATTTCACACATACTGAAATGGATGTAGTGTCAGTTTAATAGCTTTAAGGCACTAATAGATGCACACTGCTAGGTTGTTTCAAGAAGAGAATAGTATGTCACAAGGCACTATTAACTCATTCTTGTTACAGTTTTTTGAGTGCCCTGAAAAATAAATGTAGTATGCAATAATAATCTAAAAGGCTAAAAAGCAAACAGGTTTGACTGAAGCATCCAACAGGCGCACAATATAATGAAACATGAAATGTTTCAACTGAAACAGCCCAGGACATCAATCAAAGAGTTTCTATCCCAGAGGACATCATTTATCAAGAGGCAGGAAGAAGTGACATATTTCGAATGAGCACACAGAGCTATCATATTTTTGAAGTGGCAAAGAAAAAGCAACAAAAGATCAATAACAGAGAATCTCATTCTGAATCCATACTTCAAGATACTTCATATCTTGAATGAAGTATCTAAACTTCAAAGTCCTTTTTTTTTCTGTCAATAATTATCTTTCTGAAAGTGAAAACAAATCTTCAGTTCTATGACATCATGTCTTTAAAAAAAAACAAGCAAACACATTTTTGAAAAGTCAGTATCTGCATAATGTTTTTCGTTTTTCGAGTACTTCCTCAGAATCTGTTGGAACATTAACATACACTCCGGTTTAAATACACCCTAGATTATTTAAAGCAATGAACCTTGGGCCATCTATGATCATCAACATCAGGACAACACAAAATTATTTTTCTTAGGAGAACATAAAAAGAAATTCAAGACTGAAATTCTCTCAAAACTGCACTCAAATGCCATATTTATATCATAACAGAGAGCTATTGGAGATCCTGTTCTGACTGACACTGTGACCTATTCACTAAGACCTTATGAAACATGATTTATCCAATCTGCTGCTTCACAACAATGCCTAAATAATGTTAGTAAGCATATGAATCCGCAAATCAAAGCGCAGAGAATTGATTTTCCCTTCTACATTAGAGTCTATGCAGTTAATGAGAGTGTTTGAATGATGGCTGCGGAGAAAGAATGAGTATTTAATTTTGCTATGCACTGTAGCATGTCCCAAGAGCAAGATCAGCACAGTTTCCATCTAAAAACTGCCTGCAGGTCAAGCAGAGGCTTAATCTATGCACTCATAGGAGTGTAATTACTTTTTTTGATTTATGACTTCAAGAAGTTTTGTATCCAATACCAATGATGCAATGGTTCTAATGATATGCTACAGTGGTACAATTCTACATTTCAATGAAAATCATATTATGGCCATGGTTTCAGTCTCAACAAACCATGCACACACATAGGCTACAGTACAGACACAAAAACTCATAATTATATCCATTGGAAGTGCATGGCTTGGTGTGGTGACGGTAGCTTATCTTGCTGATCCACTTATGGACACTAAAGATGAAAATTAATCCAGAGCACTCTCCCATCTGCTGAAGATGAATGATTTATCTATCTTAACCCCCAAAACCAGCCAGTTTTTGTCTAATGAAATCTTTATATCCACAGCCAGGTCTACTCCTCTTAATTCCTTTGCCAGTTCCTTCTCTCTTGCCACCCCATAACTACTTCAACACACTAATTATTAAATGATATCTTTATTCCCAGTGAGAACAAGACATTAAGAAGGAAGAGACCATCAGCAATGAGGACTGGAAATTCATTCACAGAGAGAGAGAGAGAGAGAGAGAGAGAGAGAGAGAGAGAGAGAGAGAGAGAGAGAGAGAGAGAGAGAGAGAGAGAGAGAGAGAGAGAGAGAGAGAGAGAGAGAGAGAGAGAGAGAGAGAGAGAGAGAGAGCTGGACTGGGTCTGAGAGAATCCCCCACTGTCCGTCCCCATGGGCAGTCTTTAAACACTGTTATTGCGAAGTGGTTCCTCACATGAGTGAAGTGGAAATAATTGATTTTCACAGGAAATGCTGAAGGACTGCACATCTGTTGAGCAGCTTCTGTAGGCTGTATGTGTAAAGCATTTCATTGTGGGTGTTCACATTGACAGCCAAGACCAGCATCGGCAGAAACCAACGCACATTCTATTTAAAGTCTATGTGAATTGAATTTAAACTCTCTCATATCAAGCCTTACCGAACCTAGATTGTTCAGACACATGGCATTTTGATCAACAGCTGGTCAGTTTGTTTTCTGAGGCGAGTTACAAGGCAGAGGTATGCAGTATGGGTTAAAAAGAGATAATTCTGCATGCTCAGTGACGCCCTGATTTCTTTTCTCTCTTGCCCCAGCCTCTTTCTCTCTCTCTCTCTCAATCAGAAGTGGGTCAGTTATGGCAGTGCCGTTACTTAAAGAGAACTGCGGTTGCTCATATAGAACCATTTAGATGACACATATCCACTCATGCCATAGCAACCGGCCTTATTCTTTTAACTCCCCACAGCCCCACCTTATATTTGCCACCCATTTTTTTTCCAGCACGTCCAACTACAGCAATAATATAAAAATGAAACAAGAGAGTGGGCGTGTGAGTGGGAGAGACATTGTGGGGGGCATATTTAAGACTAAACAAAGCATCTGCATCAGAAAAATCTGAAACCTCCTCTCACCTGTACATAAACTTAGTGCATTTTTAATAAATCCAAAACATTCCTGCATTTAGCATGTTCTCATAACTCATACTTAATACATGCAGCAAGGCGCCCTCTTCCACATGCCTCCCAAGCCAAACACATCACAAAAGCTGCAGCTTTAAATCATATGAAAGTGGCGTGTATGTTTACGCAAAGTCATGATGTCATGTTGGTTTAAGAGACAAAGGCGGCGAACAGCCACACTAATCTAATCTGACCCGAGTGTATAATGGCTGAATTGTGGTAATAACCAGAGCAGCCCAATGGTAGAAAGAAAGATAGAAAGAGCGGGAGAAAGAAAAGAGAGCGGTGACAAATCCTCATTATTCATTAAGACAAGCACAAAACGCATGAGACAAACGAGCGCACTGACAATGGTAATTTCCATAGACCGAGCAGTGCATTTGAAACCCCACCAGCCGCAATTAACAGAACCACTGATCTTTATCAAAATCACTGCAAATTGAGCTGCAGCCTTTAAAAATACAAGTAATGAAACGTCAAAAAATTAATCATTGGCAGTAACCATCAATAGTCTTAACACGTATGCTGCATTAACACTAAGACAAGCGCGCGTGATGTAAAATGGGGAGATGGAAGGGAAAGCAATATAACAATACCTTTCTGTGTCTGTCCCTCTTCCATGTTCTCTTCCATGGTGGTTCAAAGCGCGATTATAGAAGTGGATGAAATGTAGCAAATGCCTGTAGCGGTGAAGTGGATGAGCGACTGTGCGCGCGGTGGCGAGATTGAGCGCGTGTGTGTGTGTGCGTGCGTGCGTGCAGTGGCTTTGTAAGGGACTCCTCTTCTTCACCGCAGATATCACTCAACACGATCTTCAGCTGTCTCTCTCAAACGCTGTCCATTTCCAAAGAAAACATGCGGGTTATCAAATCGGGATATCATTTCCAAATTTTCCTTTCGCTGGCTTCAGACTAGAGACACGTGATTATCTTTAGGATTGTTGATTCTGATAATGAGAGATTTGAGACACTTTAAACATTGGTAATGCAGGTATTTTGAACAACTGAGCTATATTATATAGCGCTGATGAAAAATGCACCGCATTGAAAACAAATCCCCGCACTAACAGATGGATGGGTGTATCCTAGAAACCAGCAGGGCCCCCCTCCCTTCATCATGAACACTCCAACATACACGCACGCACGCGCGCGCACACACACACACACACACACACACACACACACACACACACACACACACACACACACACACACACACACACACACACACACACACACACACACACACACACACACACACACACACACACACACACACACACACACACACACACATACCGTGTTCTCTCTGTCTTCATGTGGACAGAAGTGTGTGTTTATTTGACTGCATGGCTTATAGATACATTTCATCTATCCTGAAATGAAATTAGTATATTTTTAACTTGATGGGTTCAAACTATAGGAAAGATTTCCGCTTTCCAACGGAGGCAATTGTTTTGTCTGTGTACCCCACAACATAAATAAAGCTCATGCCTTTATTGATACTAAATCAGAAATGTGTTATTTTTTTACTTAATATCATCACTGATAATGCCCATTGTTACAATTATGTTGTGTTACAGCATGACAACTTTATCTCACATTTATTTTTTTTAAATAGTAGCCTGCCATTAATAGCAGCAGCATTAATCAGATATTAGGTTCTTGACATTTTTTTAATCTCATTAAAAAATGCATTAACAAAAACAAAAACACTGCATTATCACTCACTCACTCACTTACTACCCCTAAAACCACCTTTCTTCAGACCATACCTCGTAAGTCAATGTGTGTGTGTGTGTGTGTGTGTGTGTGTGTGTGTGTGTGTGTGTGTGTGTGTGTGTGTGTGTGTGTGTGTGTGGATTTGTAGAGATAACATGAACCTAACTGGCAAAGATTATTGTACAATTTGATTGTCACAGTAGCAAATACATGTTATGTTAATCACAATGATGAAAATGTAATTAAAATATTACAAATGACACAATACAGTAGACAAGTCATGATGTATCATGGCACAGCAGTGGGTTTTTGATGTCACCTCCAGGCTCCAGCTGTTCTGATCCGTGTCAATGACACTCACACTAGCAGTTTGAAACCAACAACCGAACAACTGTTGTCACAATGCTGCCAACAGCTCTTAGAACGTCTCGGTTACGTATGTAACCTTAGTCCCCCGAAGAGGGAACGAGATGCTGCGTTGAAACGCTGTGGGGACTGCCTGTGTGATTGCGTTGTGATTAGAGCCGAGGTCAAGGTCATAGAATCTCACGAATGTGTGCGGTGAGGACCAGCCTGTCACATCACAAACATCTTGGAGAGAAACTCCTGACAATAATGCTTTGGAGCAGCCATACTGCTAGTAGAGTGGGCCCGTACAGTCAAAAGTGAAGGCAGACCGGCCGACACATAAGCAAGTGAGATGGCCTCGACCACCCACTTGCTTATCCTCTGCTTAGATGCTGGGCATCCCTTTCTGGGTGACCCAAAGCAAATGAACAACTGTTCAGATTTCCTCCACAGGACAGCTCTGTGGACATCTAAGGCCTAAGCATCTAAGGCCCTAACTGGGCAGAGCAGATTTAGGAAACTGGTTACAAGAGGGTGTCTCCTCAAAGACATAACACGTAAACGGACGTGGTAAGAAGCTAAGGCCGCCACATACACCTTTAGTGTGGAGGGGGATAACCTTACGGAGAAGCGCTCCTGCAGGAACTCCAGCACTGCACCCACTGGGCAGTTAACTGGGTCCAGCTGGTGCTCTCCGCACCAGGAAGTGCATAATCTCCACTTCAAAGGCGTAGAGTTTCCTCATGGAGGGAGCTCTGGAGTGGAGGATGGTCTCAACAATCTCGGTTGAAAGACCTGAACTCATGAGCTGTGCCCCCTCAGAGGCCAAGCCCACAGTTTCCACAATTCTGGGCGGGGGGTGAAGGATCAACCCGTGTTGTCAGTATGAACAAAAACATGATGGCCTCTCAGGTCTGGGAAGAAGTTTTTCAGAGCTTGAAACATATATACTACAGGTGAAAACTCCTGCCTAGCAACTTCTAAAGACAGACAAAAAACAGACACAGATTCAACCACACAGAGCGCTTGCTAAAGACACAGAAGCTGACATTGTTTGGTTCAGGTGTGCTTTCTAGTTTCCTGGTCGATGACTTCAACCGCCTATGATGTTTCGTCACGCCATTGGACTGATTCCATAAGTGCCTCACGATGCAATCACGCAGGGGCGTTCATACAGTGTTTCGACGCAGCGCAAGTTCCTACAGCAACAAGAAAGAGCTCTAAGGTGGAAATAAAGCAACTGGGCCAACCCATAACCCTCTATGGTATGCATTATGTTTTAACCAATCAATATTATTTTCAAATAGCTTACAAATGGGGCGGGGCGGGGCATGGGGTTACTTTGGGAAACGTTGCTATGTGCAAAATGGTGTAAAAAGTAGTTTTTCTTTTCTATTAAAATTAACTTTTTTCTTTGAAATTTATAGATGTAGGCCTATATACTTGGAACTCATGCAAACCAAAAATAAGTAGATCCGTATCATTTAATCTATCATTCCCAATCATTTGGCTAACTCATCACATGGAAGAGGTAACATATTATTGCTAAAAATATTGCTGTTTTAATTCAGTAAAAAAAAAAAAACATTTTATTTATACATAAATACATACAACTATACTACAATAGTTCAAATGAATAAATAACTGCAATCGTATTGTTGATGCTAGCATCTATAAAAAAAAAAAATCCTAATGGGGAAATACATTACTGCAATTCCACTGTTTATCCATAGTGGTACAGCGTTGCCATATGGAAACCTTAATATTTTCTCAATTTACAGTAAAACTATGTTAGACAAAGTTGATTTGTGAATAAAAATATAACATTTACTTATCAAAGATGCTGCAAAAAAATCCCCCTTGAGAAGAGATGTTTTGAAACGAGGTTAATATAGAGCAATTTCTGGAGCACTTCAACAGGTGTCATCCGTGTGAGGGTGGTACAGAGAGTTTTGGAGGGATCAATCATTTGACTTAAAACAGCACACCTACCTTAAGGCCTGCCCTTTTAATTTCCATTGAGCAATAGGACTATATACACTCACCGGCCACTTTATTAGGTACACCTGTCCAACTGCTCGTTAACACTTAATTTCTAAGCAGCCAATCACATGGCGGCAACTCAGTGCATTTAGGCATGTAGACATGGTCAAGACAATCTCCTGCAGTTCAAACCGAGCATCAGTATGGGGAAGAAAGGTGATTTGAGTGACTTTGAACGTGGCATGATTGTTGGTGCCAGAAGGGCTGGTCTGAGTATTTCAGAAACTGCTAATCTACTGGGATTTTCACGCACAACCATCTCTAGGGTTTACAGAGAATGGTCCGAAAAAGAAAAAACATCCAGTGAGCGGCAGTTCTGTGGGCGGAAATGCCTTGTTGATGCCAGAGGTCAGAGGAGAATGGCCAGACTGGTTCGAGCTGATAGAAGGGCAACAGTGACTGAAATAACCACTCGTTACAACCGAGGTATGCAGCAAAGCATTTGTGAAGCCACAACACGCACAACCTTGAGGCGGATGGGCTACAACAGCAGAAGACTCCACCGGGTACCACTCATCTCCACTACAAATAGGAAAAAGAGGCTACAATTTGCAAGAGCTCACCAAAATTGAACAGTTGAAGACTGGAAAAATGTTGCCTGGTCTGATGAGTCTCGATTTCTGTTGAGACATTCAGATGTTAGAGTCAGAATTTGGCGTAAACAGAATGAGAACATGGAACCATCATGCCTTGTTACCACTGTGCAGGCTGGTGGTGGTGGTGTAATGGTGTGGGGGATGTTTTCCTGGCACACTTTAGGCCCCTTAGTGCCAATTGGGCATCGTTTAAATGCCACGGCCTACCTGAGCATTGTTTCTGACCATGTCCATCCCTTTATGGCCACCATGTACCCATCCTCTGATGGCTACTTCCACCATGTCACAAAGCTCTAATCATTTCAAATTGGTTTCTTGAACATGACAATGAGTTCACTGTACTAAAATGGCCTCCACAGTCACCAGATCTCAACCCAATAGAGCATCTTTGGGATGTGGTGGAACGGGAGATTCGCATCATGGATGTGCAGCCGACAAATCTGCGGCAACTGTGTGATGCCATCATGTCAATATGGACCAAACTCCCTGAGGAATGCTTCCAGCACCTTGTTGAGTCTATGCCACGAAGAATTGAGGCAGTTCTGAAGGCAAAAGGGGGTCCAACCCGTTACTAGCATGGCCGGTGAGTGGCCGGTGAGTGTATATATATATAATATATATATATATATATATATATATATATATATATATATATATATATATATATATATCAAGGAAATGAATGTTTACAGCGTATCACTTTATGGTATGGCGTACAATGCCATTCAAAGTGATATGGAAATAATTGAGAATATTCTCAGGCAATGACACTCAGTTAAAGACTATAATGTTGCCTTCACCCTTTCCACTTTAATTCCCATTAACAATTTATTTAAGTGGCACGGAATTTCCAACACATTTGATATGACTAAGCACTTGTACACTTATACTCACACTAAGCACTTATACTTACACATAACATTACTTCCCTCATAGTTCACTTAATCAATGTTGTACAGTAATTCCACTTTACCACACAACCAGCCATTTGCTTACTGATTGGCTGAAATTTTCACAAGGTATGAGTCACACATTG